GCGGCAAAATATTCAGCAGTTCTTTGTCAGCTGGAACGTGACTTCGGTACTTGCGCTCGGGCGTTGTTCTCTTTGGCTGCGTAACAGCAGAGCTGGAGCAAACAGCATTTTAAACTACTGACTGTGAATGAAAACATCCTGCTTTGAGCCTGAGACATGATGACTGGGGTCATACTTACTGCTGACAATGGTTAGCAGAAAAGTGAGTAACTTACGTGTTCAGATGAAGGTTAGAAGAAATTTAGGAAAACTTGCTGTCCAAAAAGTTTACCTTAATTGTTCTACAAGATCCCCAGACTTCTGAACTCATAGGTAGCTAAGACTACTGAAGAGAAAAATAAGGAATAAATTTTGCTGAATCAAAGATGGCACGAGATGAAGTTTTTGCTGGTTTTATGATGCATACATGACAATGACTGGAGGCTGCAAATCACCTTGGTTTGTCTACTTCTTTCTTTATATATTGCTAATGAAACATCTCATCCCATTCTGCTTTCCTTTTTCAATTGTATGGAAGTGTTGAAAAGGTCTTAGGAACTTACTGAATAGCAAAGACTGTTGAACAAACAGTATTGATCGTTACCTATGACAAGGGGCGAGCGGGGGGTCTTGTTTTTGCAAAAGGTTATATTAGGAATTTGGTCTGCATCCTACAGAAAGTAACAGGAACCTTTTAGCAGAGCAGGAGCAGGCCCTAAACGGGCTACTGTCATTTGACAAATGTAAAGGTTTAATCTGAGCAGTTGTTCTTACAGCTTTATTTACTTGAGAAAATATTGCTGCAGATGGTGAGCAACAAGACTGATTATTTCAGGATGCAGGATACTGGGGAGAGCACATGTTCAAAACCATGGTTTTTTGGGTACTATTTCCTTAGTAAAGTAATTTCAAGCAAAATGAATAAAACTACACTGCAGAACTGATTTTTAATTTGAGCTTTTGTTTGTGTGGCTAGTTCATGGCCATGGGTCTGAGTGAAAAAGGTTCTTTGCTACAGCTGTGTATAAGGTATTTTTATGCACGGTATTTAAAACTTACTCCAACCTTCTACATTTCCCTGGTGCTTGCTTTGAGGTCACTGCATCTATAGTGAGGTCACTGCATTCAAGTACTCTGTACTTGGTATGCAGTTTTTAATTTCTCGAGGCGCTGACAGTACACAGAGCTTGCACAGACAGTGTGTGCATCTATCTTCTAGTTCTAGAGTCTGGTCCGGACCCAGGAGTGGAAAAGCAGACAGGGCAGGACCTTAGATGCTTAAATCCTTGGATTTAATGCTTGGGCTTCCAAATGTCATAAATCACTTCTGAAGCTTAGGGTTCAGTCACCGGAGGGACTTACTGTTTTCACCAAAGTTGCTTAGTTTGTGTTTCCACCACAGCTGTCCTGTGTGGTGCTCCGAGGCAGTCGCAAATACGAGGTAATTGAAATCAGATGTTTATCTAAGACACTTTTCTTAGTAGCTGACTGGGAGACACTGTAGCTCAGCAAAAATGTGGTAACCTGATTGTCTCAGCCTCTCACTGCCTCTGTCAATTAAGGTTGGAAAGATGAATCTATTTATGTGTCTAAAGCCCACTGATTTCAGAAGGGCAGGGTAGGTAAGTGTTTAATGGCTTTGATCCAGGCATTGGCTTTGCAGTGTTAAGTAGAACAACTTCCAGGTATTTCTATTTAATTTTAGTGCTTCTTACTGCTCCAATACTCAGTGACTAATCCAGTTAAAATCAGGACGTTGTTATCCTTTTGTGCCTTATTGGTAATACTAATCCAGATTGTTGAAATGATAGTGTTGGCGACTAGATGGGCCATAAATACTTTTTATCAAAAACAAACCCTGAGCCCCCCCAAAAATTCACCACCCCAAAATTAGAATTTGTTACTTGGTAAAGTTCAGGTGATCGGAATTCAGTCAATGATTAATATCTTGTGTAGTTACTTCTTCATTTTCAATATCTTCTCGTGTAATAAATGTGTTCAGCTTGTCACAGATCTTATTTTATGTCCCCACCTTGTATCATTTCACATTCTGCTTAAGTACTTGGTCATCTATTACATGACTCATTAGTCTGAGATCTCTACAGAATTAAAGAAAGTTGCAGTAAAAATAATATATTGAAGTTCACATTTCAACTACATCACCCATGCATGTTTAAAAGCATCTTTCAAAGTCAGCTCAACATACAATAGTGGGAGATTAATGTTCACTAAGCCCCATCTCTAGTCCTTCACAGAGAAGTGGGGACAGGATAAAGCTATAGGTGTTTATTACCTGCAAAACAAAAGTTGTGGAAAGCACATCAAATCATAATTGATTGGTGTGACTTCATGATGTTTTCCTGTCTGGCATTTAATTCCTGGTCACTAGGCAAAGGAAGTCTTGCCAAATAAAGATAATGAGAAATAAAAGTTGATGAAAGCCTTAAATCATTAAGTACTAATCTAGGACTCTCCCAAAACCTACCTGCACGCCCACTGAAGCACAAAAATCGTTACGAGTTCAAAAAAGTTAAAAGAGCATTTGAAGCAACATTCAGAGAAGTAAATAAGAAAGTATCTGAATTTACACTTATTTACATACTTTTGAGGATGTTACCAAACAGGATGAAGTTTCACAAGTCTTATACAGCAGGTATTTCTTATCAATTTTGCAAATGGATAAACAGAGTCATATAGATAAGCCCTTACTCAGAGTCACAAGCAGCCGGTAGCAAAAATGAGAATACAACTTCTGAGCTGTAGCTAAGCAAGGTCAGATGGCCACTAAATGCAGTTCTTTCTCAGATATTACCTTTCTACCAAGTAAGAGGTAAATTTATTTTTCATTTATAACAGGAAAAGAGTACTAAAAAAGCTAAAAGTTTTTCTCTGTCAGCTTAAAAAAATAAATGCTAATCTTGTCTGGTCATTGAATAATGCAAATGATTATATTTAATAACTTCTGGGCAATTACTCTGTCTTTATCTGCATTATCAGGTTCCTGGTTTTGCACTGTAAATATCTCAGAGGTGAGAAATCAGAAGCAATTTATTTATTTCTGCAGTCAAATACTACATAACATTGTATTGCTTTGTGTTCAAGTATTTTTAAACGTGGTTAAGATATAGTGTGTGTGTATATATATATAAAAAAGATATATAGATTATACAGAAGATATAATTTGGACTCACCAAAATTTTTGTCAGTGTTTCCTGTCTCCTATAAAAAATATTTTTGTGTATACTGTTTGAATGTTATTTCAGTAGAAATGTGATGTCTTCCGACTTGACAATTATTCCAACAACAAGCAAAATAAGTGATCCAACAGACTCTCTAAAACCATTTCAAGTATGTGAGACTTTCGGGTTTCTTACTAAGTAATAGATCTATGGGTACCAGGTAAGTACTACTTACTACTTTCCAAGGTTATTCAACTTCTTACAGTTTAGAGGAAAGCCAGGACATGCGCTTACGAGGCCATTATGATAATACACAGCTAATTGTTCCTACTGTGCTGGTGACTACCAGTTGGTGCGGCATCTTGCTAGGCTCTGTACAAAAAGGGCATGTGGCAGGCCACAGTTCCTTGAGATGAAAATCCAAAACATAGCAAATCTGACAATTGCAAACTGATGTAATTTAGAGTAGATGCCTAAATCAAAAGCAGCTGGGGGCCGTCACCTGAATTTGCCAACATATGAGCCTTGGTTTGCTAACAGTTAATATTTTAGTATTTGCTGGCTGTCTCAGAGCTCATGAATTGTACGTTTACTGCTCTTAATTTCTCTATGACTAGAACCTGCTGCTAAGAAAGCAAGTTATGCATGGGTATTTTTAAAGTAAATAGCATATTACAAATTTTCACCAACATACTTCCCCAATAAGGTGGAACACCTAATTGTATTGTAATTAGATATAATCAATTGTAATCAGTAATAAAACATTGATCATTTTCCTGCTAAAGGATCTGGAAACCTTTTGTCTTCTACTATTTTTAGAATTGATTCATTACATTAATTAGGTGCCTGAAGATTAACATTTATTTGTACTTACCTCACACTTACCTTCTATCATTAAAGACATGTTAAAGTCACTCTATAATTACAATGTGTCTCTTGCTAAGCCTTAAAACAGGATTATTTGCTTGTCTTAGAGATGTTTCTACCTGGATATATGTACTAATTTCCTACTGATATAAAGCCTTCCTTTATTAGCTCACGAAAAATAATCAAAACCCTTCCTTAGAGCTAGTCAGCAGGAGGGAGCGGTGCGCTACGGGGAAAGCGTGCTGAAAGCCCACTGCGGGCTGTGCCACGGGAGCTGCCGAGTGCCCTTTGTTCCAGGGATTTCAGTGGGAGTTGAGGGTGATCAGCTGCTTTAGAGGATCAAATCCAGAGACCTTATCGCAGTTCTAACGCACGCTGCACAGGGATTAATTGTGCTGGTGGGGATTCAAGGCTTCACACGCATTTTGCCTGTGACAGTACAGCACGTACTCTGACAGGGAGGCTGCAGCAAAATGCTTATTTCACGTGCAGTAGGCGAGATGCTCATATCTTGCAAAGTGCATTTAATGAGGACAGATGAAGTAGAGTTCCAACTAAGCTTGATTTTTCTGGCTGATTTGAACAGCCCTGACTTAATGTGTATGAGTAAGCTCCATTAACATTACAAGTCACCTCAATGCATCAAATCTAAAAAATGGACTTCTGGAACCATGTTATTTGCTAAAATGTTAAATATAATTAAACGCTGCCACCTTGCAATAGACAGGTAATAAGAGGAGTGTTGCCACACAAGGAAAGAGTATTTCAGAGGATGCTAGCTGGAGCCTGCTGCTCATGCTACGCCCTCATAAAGGACTGGTTGTATTAAAAACACGAGAGCTTCAGGAAATGATTTAGCTTGCTTATAGTTGGTTAAATCATCACCTCAGAGCCATTTTTGTACATTCAGTTGCATCAAAAGGAGGGAAATGACAGATGACCAACACCAGTACTTCAGAAATGTTCTTTTCTTACCTCTTGGACTGTTGAGAGAGGCCTCGGATGCCTTTCCACCATCTCCACAGTGACTCTGGTCAAATGGAAGGCACTGATCACCTGTTCCTGCCACCACGTCTGCGTTTTTGGCCAGATCCTTTGTTTCAATGAGAGATTTTGCTTTGTAGACTTTTCTGGTGTTGGTATCTGACAAATAAAGGGCTTCTGACACTGGATCAATGGCCAAGTAATATTTATGAGCAGGGCTTGTACTAAAACAGAAGAGAAGAGCATCACAGTTAAATTGTTTTTCTTTTTAATCTCTGTTCATGGTAGCGTAGCACTTCTGAAGACATCTTCAGTGATTTGGAGATGATGGAGGCATAGGTGAGACCAGCTTTAATGTAGCTCATGCAAGCACCACTGCTGAGAAGGAAGGAACCAGTACTGGCCGCAGAGCTTGGCCACCAGCTGCCTACCAGCTAGCGAGCTCGTGCAGAGAGTGGTACTGGTGGAGTCAGGCTGTCCAGGAGTACCGAGCCGCTGAGCCTAACGCTAACTGGAGTGACTTCAGCTTAGTTATAATTATTACTATCAAAAGCAAGGTCATTTCTCTATACCTGCTAAGTCCTAGTACTCTTCGCACTGAAACCAAATCTATGACTTGAAGCGAAGTGACTCAGACTGTTCTGCATGGGCACAAATACCCACTCTTGGCTATTTTTATCTGTTTCTACACCTTAGGAAATATGAAGGTGTGAAATATGGTGCCTTAATTCATGCCGACTGTATTGTCAGGAGCAAGGCAGAAGGCCAAGTACTGGCAGTGCAACTAGGCATGAATTAATGCACCATAATTCATGGGCTGAAGTGCCTTATTGCAGTTATAAAATGTTATTTAAAAAAATATTTACTTATGTTAATTAAATGGTGAGGATCATAATTTCTAGTCGGAGAACTGGGCTGCATCTTATTAACCAGCAAGACTTTTTGTTTCTTTTTGAGCAGAAAGTTAATTTCCAGTTTGAGGAAACTGTCTAAGCACACGGCACACCACGCGAGTGTCCCGAGCCTGGCGAGACCGCAGCGTAGTCCTGATTAGAAGCAGGACACTGACCCACCCGCATCCCCTGTAACTCTGCATGGGACTTTCCTGTCTGCTCTGCAGACTAAAAAGATTGTCAGATTTCTCTCTCTTTTTTTTTTTTTTTTTGTTTTGTTGTTTTTTTTTGGTTTTGTTTTGTTTTTTGTTGCTTAACAGATATTTTATTAACATGGGTACAATTAACTAACGCTTAAGATTGCTGCAGCAAAGTTAGGAAATGAGATGAGTTACTCCTCTCAGCTTTGTCGGTGATGTCTGAGATGAGATGAGACTGACTGACTTTACTGATGTGACTTCAGGCTGATGAAGCCTCTTTAAATATTAATTTTTTGCTTGGCTGAGGAAGGTACTAAGCTTCACTAATCATCTATTAGACCGTTCTACCTTACAGAGCGATGTTGCAAAACAATGTAAAAATTACTTAACCAATACCTTTTATTTTAGCAGACTACTGAATATCCTATATATTACTACGAAACTTCCAACAGATGATGAGCTGAAATCTTATTTCCATTCACAAGTGATAAGGCTAATGCTGTACCATGATAAATGTGACAGAGCTTGGGCCTATTTCAGTTCTCATTCTCCATCCAAAAAGGGACAGACGCTGCTCGGCATCTCTGCAGACTGGGCCACAAACTAGACCAGCTTAAAGCTGACCTTAGTCATAAACATCTATAAAAGGCAGAAGGGGAAAATGTAAGGAAAGAGATATTCCCACAGTCGGGGAACAGATGTGAAAGCCAGTCCAAGGAAACGTAGGGAATGAGAGGACACTGGTACGATGAAAGATGAGTAAGAGCAATTAATGCTGAATTAGGTATCACCAGTATTATAAAATCCTGTTTATTGAAAACATTAAGAATCATTTGTGCTCTCCGGAGTGAGCTCAGAAGAGACTGGTCAGCCAAAAGATGACTTTTTAATAAAACACTTCTGTGGAAAAAGTTACAAGGAGAATTCTAGATGTTAAATAAACATATTGTTCATCATGCAGAAACTGCAGAGAACCAGGGGTCATTACATACTCTCCTTGTAGACCCATTTTCTGTCATCCTTCTCATTAGGTTTAATAGACCGGCTGTTAGAAAACTCTTGATGTTTATGCTTAAAGCCCTGCATACTAAAATGATTAAAGAGTGTTAGTAAAAAATGGAACAAAATCAAATATGTGCCATCTTTGCAGAAGTTTGCAATCAAATCTAGATCTGAGTTTATTTAAATTAGCCTATTAAAAACTATATAGAGTAGACTAGGAGTTACAATTAATCTTTCCAAAACAAGTAGCTACTTATCCTGTAGTAAAATTTCCCCCTGTAACCTCAAAGCCTAGTTTCAATTTTTACCAGTTCTTAAACAGCTTTGTGATTTCATATTAAAAATCTTAATGACAAGAAAACCAAACGGTTTTTAAGCAGTCAAAAATCAGATAACTTGCCTTCTCTGTTTACTGGTCTCCAAACTCTATCCCTTTTTACAGGGTATTTTCTTTGTCCTGGTAGAAAGAACCTTTTTTCCCTGCTCTTTTGGAGACTAAAAGCTGTGTTGAGGAACTGGATTCTGCAGCTCTTTTCTGCTTGGACTGTCATGAGTCTCTGACACCTTTTAGTTGTTGCCTCCACATGTTTCTTTGAGCATCCTAGAAATTTCCACCATGACTGTGGCCTTTACAGCCTCGAGAACAGTGGGACTGCCGAATACTCCCCCATAACCTCAAAGGCTACATTAACTGATTTCTGCCAATTTTCCACAGATTTCTCTCGGACAGAATACTGACAGAGGCAATTACTGTTGTAATTAATAGGGCTGGCTACTTGAGTATTGTCCCAACTTCATTTACTTAAGGTTTAAGTTTATCTCAAGAAACTAGTACTAGTGAGCAGGTGTTAAAAAAATTCTACTTTACAAAAGAAACCCCTGAATTTAAAACCTGACTCATGTTCTGAATGCATTATAGAGTAAATAAGTTCAATTTGCTGCTTTTCTTTAGTTTACAAAGATACTGGTTGGTTTAGCATGAAGGCAAATGGAAACAATCCTTCAGCAAAAAAGTAGAGCCTTGCACTTACCAACTAGGAATTATTCCTTCTTTTTAAGTTTTCGTTGTAAAATATGAGATGTGACATCACCCGTAAGTAGGCTGACAAGTACTCTGTAGCATTCAGCAGCATTCGTGTGGCTAAAGCAAGTAATTCCAACCAGTACTCTCATCCTGCAAACACACGCGTAGTCCACACGCTGCTTGCCACCGTGCCGTGGACTTACCAGCTTAGGCTGCACTACTGCTGGTTTCTTTATCTCACCTCCTTTAAGTACTGAAACGCTAAAAAGTTTGTTTCTAAGGATACAGAGTGCCTTGCTGTCTTTCCAGCCTGCAACGTCGTTTCTGCAGCTGGATTGTTATAACCAACTCCCTCGCCGTCCGTCGCGGAAGCCTGATGTGCAACGTTCATTCTCCGAAAGAAATCCCTACGTTGCGATGCCAAAATGCTAACTGGAAAGGGGGGAAGCCGCGTGCTCTGGCTGTAGCTGGAGAAGCAAGGACTGAACTGTGACAGGTTTAAGTTTGTAATGCCCTAGAACTGCTAAAGCACAGTCCTCTTGTGTGATCCTGAAGCCCTTGCTATCATTTCTTAGTTGCTAAATCTCCAGTTTTCTTGGCTAGCTATACCTACGATCGTCCAAACGCCACGTGAAATGCATGTGACAGCTATGAAATGCATTCCCAGCTTTTGGGTTTAAACCTCTCCATCTCCGCTTGGTGATCAGCGAACGGGTGTTTTAGAGGGAGACTTCATTCCTTCAAAAAGAACAAATCAAACCTACTTTACTATAAACAAAGGTGAATCTGATTAATATTTGTAATTGTTAAAATCAGGGTGTTTCTCTCTATCCAGACTTCTGAAATGCCCTTTGTAAGACCGTTTCCTCAAACACGGTTCACATATTACTGTTACTGCGTTTTACTTACCTGTGTCTTGTGTCTCTATTCCTAGTAAGACAGATTGGTTTGGATTTAAAAAAAAAAAAAAAAAAAAAGAAAAAAGACAAGAAATGTTAGTCCTCAACAAAACTGTATTCTTTGCCTAACCGCTCACAAAGCTGCACCCCAAGAACAAAACACTGTTCATCCTGTTCCTTAGCATTCTTCCTCCGAAAACCGCTTCCTTTCTGCTGCCTGCCCGTTGTCAAGTTAATTCTGAACAACCAGCACGCGACATCCCCAGCAGTGTCAGCTAGCTGGAGATTCATGGGTGTTAAGTAAGAGAAATTTAGTATGTCAGCGTCCAAAAATCTCTCCTGCCTTCCCCTCTGGCCCTGAAAGGGAACGGGAAGCTGGAGTCACAATTACAGGTGAGTCGTTAATGGTGGCGCGGGCCCAGCCTGAGACATGTCAGGTTTGCTCTGCTCTGCTTAAACCCAAGTCATATCCCCCGTTACAGACGAGGAACAATTTAGTTGTATTGATTTTAAACACGGTAAGTCTATCTTCAGCCATAATGCTGTGACCTGACAGGATACTGCACACATTTGCTATTGAACTATGGGGTTTTCTTAAAACATTCCATGAAGTGTATTTTTGAACTTTTTTGAGAAAATGTATGAAAAATCTCACAGGAAGACAAATTAGCTCTACTAATTCTGCACCTTCTAGAAATTCATTATGCAAAACCTGCTCTAAAGGCCACTTAAGATGCCCTTTTAAACTGGTGACTTTAAGCGTAAGTTTTCTGATGAGTTCGGCCGGCAGTCGGTGAGACGTATGCTCACCCGGCAGCTAAAGGTGGCTGCTGCTTTAAGTCACAAGTGGAAAAAGGCTCGCTGCAGTTTCCATAGGCATATCACAGCCAGGATAACGAACACCAGTCAGAGAAAGCGAGTTATTTTTTTACCTTAATTCTAATATACCAATTGAGTTTCCAGAGGGAAAGATCCGTCTGACAAAATTGAAGTCACCAATATACACACTACCATCAGGCCCAGAAGCAAGGGCAACCGGGGCAAAGAGTTTGCTGTTGAGCGCAAGACCGTTGCAGTTGGAGCAAGAGACGCTTCTCTGGTGTCCGTTGCCCATCACAGTCGAGATGACTGGCGGCTGCTGGGAGATGAACATGTTCTCACCGTTTCCTTTGTGTACGATTCCTAAAGGGAGGGGGGAGGCAGAAAACAGACCAAAAAAAGCAAATATAAAGCATTTAAACTGTTCTGCAGTTTTGGATTACGCAATCCTCTAGAAACTCAGATTACCAAAACAGCAACAAACATCGGCTCTTTTAAAGACTGTCACAGGGCTCCACTAATCTCTTCCAATTTTACACGGTCCCAAGCTTCGCCATCACCATTTTGTCGATTAGTGGTTAGTGGCTGTTTTAAAAGCCAACGTCACGAGGAGAACTCACGGTTGGTTAATGCTCTAACAAATTGACTGTTAATTGCAGTGCTATCTGATTTCCTGGGGATTACTACTTTTAATATTCATTTTATTCATAAATCTTTATTAGGTAGCAAAGGAATTTCTTAGGCAGTTTGAATATTTAATTAAAGGAGATTAATGGCAGGACTCCTATGCATTTTTCACAAAAGAGCACTGAGTGGCAGTGCAAAATCAATATTCAAATTTAAATGCGAGTCCTTCATGGTATATAAGAAAGGTGCCAAGTGCAGCAAAGCCAAGTTAAGTCAAGGAGTAATTCTGAGGCACAAGTGAATTTCTTAGCAGTGAGAATGTATTAAGTTCTGCCATAAAGTTTAAAACAACTTTCCAGGGTGTCAGTATTTTGGCACTGCTCTGCAGCATACGTTGTTGAAAGTCTTCCCCATTTCTAGGCCGGTGATACCAGAACCAGCACAAAAATGTGTATGTATTTTATCAAGCTGATTGATAGCTGTAATGTTTATTTTAAGTAACGATGTGGTAAAATAGTGATGTACCTTTAAAAAGACGTGTTATTATAAGATACTGGCTATTTCTGAATGGAAGATAGGTGTTCTTTTGGACCACAGTCCAAAATCTCTGATTTCCCTTAGAAAGCCCAGTACTTCATCAGAAAAGTGGCACGATTCAAGGAATAATACAGGAGAATATACTTTCTGGAGGACTCTTACACTGGGAAATGAGAATACGCTAGACACTGCCTATCTCTAGAGAGACACATGCGAATTTTCCCAAAGTACGGCAAATGTGTTTATGTAGTCTCTCTACCAACTTTTGTTAAACCCTTTTTTTGTGGCTTTCAGGTAAATCTGAAGCTAAAATTCTCCTTGGAAATTACTGAGTGTTGCCATAGTTATTTTGTAAGGGAATTATATTTCTGAAAATTTATTGCTGAACAATAGAGGACAGAATACATGTATTTATTTGAAGGTTGGCTTAAAAAAAGCATCTTGGAAATATGACGGTAAAATTAATAGCAATATCCTCCCTTACGCACAAGATAAAAATACTGCTAAAGGAAGACGCTGCCCTTTGTCTGAAATTAACAATGTAAAGGTAATATTTCAACTACCTCATACAAATGCCAGTAAATAATTAGGGCTCTGGAGAATATGTTTTGCTGTCAATAAATGTAAGCATGTGCTTAATTTCAGATTTTCGAGCTGCTGCTTTAATTTTAATCGGTGCTCTGTTGCACTGGGGCCGAAATTACCGTAAAGCATAAATTCCCTATAAAATTACTCCTCCTTCCCCCAGATAGATAAAAATGGAATCAATACACTTGCCCATCAGAAGAAAAATCTAATTCAAAGAATACTCTGAAAAATCAGTTAATAGCACATGCTATTTGTATTCATGAGATATATAGGTGTCTTTAAAAGGACTCTATACAGGGACTAGTATTTATGGGATGTGTTCTCGTCTTGATTATGAGAAATGCCCTGGAGATCTTCCAAACTGACCAAACCCTTCGCGTTCGAAAACATTAAAGTCTAATCATGTCACAAATTAGAAGTGATCAAACCTCTAAACCGGAGGGGGGAAAAAGGTGGGAAAAGAACAGTCGAGTACAGCTGAGACCAGGATGTGATCCTTTGTTAACCTAACAGTCGTACTGATGCAAAACCATACACATTTAAAATGCCTGTGCTTCCAGCGACGGCCACATTGGAAGAATACATGTTATTTCTCATCTATGCTGCTGGAGTCGGACGTCCTTCTTTTCTTTCTTTTTTTAAAGCTACCTACATCTGGCAACAGAACTCGGTTTTTACTTGCTGTGCTTTCTGCATGTCAATACTTGTACCTCCACAGCTTAGACCGTGCTATGAAGCGCGGTTCTGTAAAATCGCGTGTATTTATTTTTACAACTTTTGTACTTAGTTTATTTTCTAAGTAAGTTCTCTAAAATGAATAGCCTTTGTGGGGAGGGCGGTAAGCACACCCACCCCGTCTCTGAGTAGGAACGCTGTGCACAGCGGCAGACCTGCCGAAGACAAGGCTTAGTGGCTGCAGTCACATATAAGCTCTTCGTGACTAGTTCACTAACCAGGCAAAGTGCTTCTAGTTTTAGTTTGAAAACAAAATTGTAATTTGCAAGAGAGAATTTCTGGAAAGACATTTCTGTTCTATTCCAATGCTATTTCTGTAGTTAATCCAGTGACAGCGTTTCAGAAACAGATGCAAGCTTCACGCTTCTAAAAAGAGCAGCTCTTCATACATACAGAGGGAACGCTTCAGTTAAAAGTGAAAAATCTCAACACGTTCATACTCAAGAAGGCTACTCATGCTTCTCATTTCACTCACGGTGGCATGGAGAGAAGTCTGAAATGTATAATTCTAAGCTTGAATCACCATGTGGTTCTTCTTTAAAGTACGTTTTATATAGCTGGAGCAGTTCGCTAGTTTCTAGATGGGACCGGAAGCGCACTCATTATTTTTATCCTTTTGGCTAACACAGTTCGTTACTTGGTTTTGTTGCTTCAATATGAGCCTACAGTTTCTCTGCCCCCAACCGCTTCTCCGTTTCCTGCGTACGAAACCAGGCGTGCACGCTCAACGGCCATTACAGCCCCGGGGAGCGCCTGAGACATGGCTGGCCCTTGTCGTCCTCACTGGAGACGCTCCCACACGCAAACCGCGAACGGCGAGACCCGCCGATTGCAAGCCAGACGTGCTGATGCCCTCCCTAACGCATAAAGACGTTCAGCAGCTTCCCCCGACTCCAGCCTCGATCGTGCCCAGCGCAGCGGGAACGTGCGAGGAAGAGGAGCAGGTGGAAGCAGCTGAGCGATTTGCCACCCCCCGTGCTGAGGAAAGCAAGGATTCAGCCCCGCTCAGATTATCACTTCACAAAATCTCGGAACGTGTCCGTGCCTGTGGGGTGAATTACAGCAGTAACCACAGTCAGCAGATCGTCATATAAACCGGAGTTACCGCCAGCAATTTAGGCTTGAAATTAAACTGTGCAAGTGGTAAATTGGCACTAAGGAGCAGACTATGGGGCTCACAGTTGGGGGCTGAGCTGACTGAGGTCGCATTTCTCTTTGTGTTAAATGTCAATAGCTGGCATTTAAAAGAGACAATCTATACAAACCAATAAGACGGGGTTTGAAAGAACCGCTGGTTAAAATGTCAAACCATTTTAAATCAAAACAGAAATCCAGATAATTTACAAACTAAATCTGACCTTTTGTATTTGGAATATTTATACTGTAGCTGCGCATTCAACAGCAGAACTTGTAAAAACCTGACAGCCGTACATCTGTGCCTGAATCTTCATGAACAGAAGTTTGCAGATGGAAATAGATTTTAGTGGACAGACTGGCAGCTGGAGCAAATTGAGAAAACTTTACTGAATCCGATACTCTGCTGATTTATAAGTGCTGAAATCTGACCCCAAGTTTCTCTTCTCCTCGAGAGTGAGATATATGTTTATTGGCAAACCCGCATTTTTCTAGTTACCATAATTTATCTACAAGTACTGTTTTAATAATTTAATTTCCCGATTATAGATGTTAAGGGACCAAAAGAAAAAAAAAAAACAAAAACCGGGGAATAAAACAAAAGCCATGAGAAATCAGAGATTCGAGCATGGAGGCTTGAATCTACGCAGGGTTAATGTTATGACACCAAAAGCATTTACAGCTTTTTTCCTAACGCTTCGAAAGGTGCTGGATCGTGTGTCCTGAAGAGTAACGTGCTCCGGCAGAGAGTGGGCAGCCACAGCGGCGTCCGCACGCCGGACCGGCAGCGTGGTTTGGGAAGCGCTCCCTCTCAGCCCGTCTGTCTTCCTGCTCCGTTTGTCTCCCTGCTGCTGTGATGCTACTGACTGATGTCGCTCACGGGATGAATTAGGCGTGTAGACGCTTCACTGAGAGTAAAACACACTACAAACTGACCGAAAAGGTGGTACTTCTGTACCAACAGTGTGAGAAGCAACCTAAATTAGTGTGCCCTTTTTCCATCCAAACGATCGAAATGCGTTGGCCGTGACAAGAGTTAGTGACGTTAGTGTTTAACAGCTGGGGGCCAGAACGTTAGGAATATCCTTTCAGGTGGCATTTACAGTTCCGTTCTCTGTAAATGAGGATGCACATTCAAACAAAGAGGATTACACGTTAGGAAGTGTAATGCTTAAAATCCAAACAATTAATTCCTTTAAAATTTGTATTCTTCTTCTGCATGGCCAGTTAATAAAGGAAGGACTTACCACTTTGCGGATTTAATACATGGTGTTTGTTTATAGACCAGCCTCCCAGATTTGAAGCATCCATTTCAAAGCCTTGAAGGATTACTGTTCTCTTCTCCCACAGAATAAAATCAGGACATGTTTCATATTCATATCCCACCGACACTGCAAACAAATAATTAAAGATCTATCAGTCTACCTTCTCCTCTGTGAACTACTAGGTGATTCTTCATTCCAGGTTTTGATATTAATCTGTCAAGTAATGATGCCACTACTTTTCTTCTGCCTGATTGCCATCGTTGAATGGTATTTTTTTTTTAAAAAGGGCTTTAGGAGATTAGTACGTTATTACAGATACAGTTACTACTGTTTTAAAGCAGAAAATGTTCTGTTGTATCAGGTACGGATTTCTTAACGGTATAAATCTCCTCCAATGACTCCGTTTCTGCTAATTACCTGAAAAACAGCTTAAATAAATAGAAAAAAAATCCACATTAAAACAAGCTGGTTTTAATTTGTTTGCTAATTGTAAAAATTGTAGTTAGGCAGAAATGGATTGTCAAGCTGAAATTTTCTAGAAAGAAACATTTATCATAACATAATCTTAATAGGCTTGCACATCACATGGCTCCCCTCTACAGCTGGCCAAAATACCTGCTGAAAATCTTGAATTTCCCAAAGCGTGGTGGTTTTTTTCGGCACTCAAACTGCCCTCAAAACCTTCCCTTTAGTGATTCAGCAAAACAAAAAAAAAAATCTTCAAAATTTAATTTTGGTATCTCTAATACACCAACTTTTCTTTTTAAGAAGTTATCTCCTCTAGTTAGCCTTTTTAGATTTCACTGCAACTCATTTGTAAAGGAAGAATGGTATTTTGACACCAAATCCCAAAATTTGATCTAGGAAATATCGAGATAACTCAGCCTTTCCGAAATAAAAATGTTATGAAAAATATTTTAATGTACAAAATAGAAAAATACTTTTAAAACCACAGTTTTCTGATATTTTCAATAATTTCTTCTCACTTTCTCTAGGTAGCAGTTTTAGGACCATTTTACTATATATAGAGTTTTATAACTATAATTTTTTTTA